ACATGAGTATTTTAATTGTTGAACTGTGGAACCTTCTTTTTGAAACAGATTATCTTTATCAAAAGTGTATGTCAATCTAGTTTCTGTAATATATATCTTATTTTGGAATTGATCCCTGTTTTAAAAAATGTATATACTATCCGTGTTGCTACTCACTGAGCTATCAGCTGACTTAGTTGTTTCACTTTCAGGAGTTAGAGAACTTAGAGTGGACTTATGGCGTAGCGGGGACTCAATTGCATGGACCTCTAGGACATTCATTTATTTTGTTTTAACTTGTTATGTTGGGTTTTGTGCATACATTGTGGTTGGATTTTTATTTAGAATTATTTTATTTTGTGGGCGATTTGTGTTCCATTTAGTATATATTTTTGGAAGTTGGTTATGGTTGGTTTTACCATTTATACTTGTGACTTGTCATTGGATTAGGTTTTGATTTATTTATTTATGGGCTATCATCACATTTATTCTTTGTGATTTTGGATTCATGTTTAGGCTTACGTGAGCCTTGGGCTGAGTCCCTGTGGGCCACGGCTGGTCATGCTTGGATTTGGAGTGTGACAAAAAATGATGTTTTCTTGGGCATTAACGGTATTATTTTGCTTAATGCATCCATTGAAATAAAACCAACACGGTTAGAAATGGACCTTGAGAGGTTACCGGACGTGATTGTGATATGAAAACTAGTGTAGTTGTTCATATTTGATGAGATGTGGAATAAATTGTATTTATTGAAATTTTTAGAATTTAATTGTTTAAGTATCTATTTAGAAATATCTGTTTTGGGCAATTGGTGGAGGATAGCCATGATTGTTGTAGAAATGCGTGAGGCTTAGGTAAATTGAACCACATTCCTCATTTGTTACATTGGACATTGCATTACATTCATTTCATTAGAAATGTATCTGTTTTTGATAAATGTTTGGAAATGTATCTGTTTGTGAAAAGATGAATACTTGGTGAATCTAGATAGGGGGTGTAGAACCGCGTGGTTAGGTGTCATGCCTTCTAGTTTACTGGTAAAAATAACAGTGGTAGTGCATTAGGGCCTATTTGCAGACACTCACCTAGAGATTCACAGAGCCTGTATTCATGTAACAAGATATGGTTTAAAATGGAAATGGTTTTATATCAGTTGTTGCATCTTAGCATTGCATGCTTTATAAAAAGAGAGATAAACTGTTTTATCATGAGCATGGCATGAGCATCCTCCTCTTTAGTCTTGTCATGGTCCATATGTTGTGTAGTACATCTCTACTGGGTTGTGGCTCATCCTATAAGGAAAATCGTTTCAAGTACAGGTGCTATGCCTTCACCAAGGCATTGACTTGGGAGGACTCGGAGCTGAGACTTCATTTTTGTTTTATGGTTATTTATTGAATGTAAGTCTAGAGATGTATTTGCGTTGAGTTAAAACTCCATTTTGTGTAACCAAGAATGTTCTTGGATAAGTTTGTAAGTCTGTAAAACACTAATTATTTGTTTGGCTTCCATTTCATACTTGTTGTAAAATGCATGCTTGGGATTGGAACTGGGGCATTGAGATGTGAACAACATGTATTTGGCATTTGGGATTAAATGGAAATGGATGTATGAAATAGTTAGCTATATATATGTGTTTGTCTATCAGATGGGTTTGTTGTATAAATATATATACCCTGCCCAATTGTTCGGGGCATTACATGCAAACATAAATTTTATATAGAACTTTCAAACACAATGATAGCTTAATGGTGACCTTTCACTTTAAAACAAAACACCCATAAACATGATTTATGTTTATAACAATATCACTATCACAACATTTTTATGATATTTTTTTGTATAAATTTTTATATATGAATATAATTTTTCATTTTTATTTTCACCATTATACCTAGATTAGATTAATTTAATATAGATATATTTAAAAAGTACAAAAATTTGTATAAAAAACTTTAAAAAATCCATTGAATACAACAAAATAAGATAACATATTGAATTTTTGTGTTTTTTATTTTATTTTTTTGTATTGGTGAATTTAAGAAAAATCAAAAAATATTACATTTCTGAAGTATATCTAGATTAGGTGTATCTATAAAATAAAAAAATTGCTTACAATGTTAAAAAAAAATACGAAAAATAAAAAAACTTAATTTTTTAATGTAAGTTAAACCAAACAAGATGACTATTATTTCCCTCGAAATGACCTGAATAAAATATCTGTATTATTTTATTATTTTATATGTATAAAGGTTAAGGAGCTAATATGTCATTTTAATTTGACAGGGAGGTAAGTGTAATTTTTCAAATGTGAAGAAGGATCTGTATTAAATAGAAACCTCATGAGTATCAGTGTAATTTACTCCCCAAAAAAAGGAGACCACCCCATGTGGTCACTGCTCTCCCATCAAAACTTTGGTAACGTTTAGTAGAATTTTAGAATTATGATTTGAGAACAAAATTATATTTTGAGTTCATGAGTTTTGGAATTATGATTTGAGTGTAAAAAAATTGTTTGGTTATGAGTTTTGATATTTGAAAAGAGTTTTGATGTGACATATGATATTTGATTAAGAAACGTACAACTCATGACCAAACACACGACCCAAAATTTTATTCAAAGCTCATAAAAAAATTTTAAAAAATTTTGAAAATATTTCTTATTTAAAATATAAAAATAACAGTAGCCACAAAAAAAAAAAACAAAAAACCGAACACTGTTCCGGTCAACCGGCCGAACGTCTGGGAGGATGACCGGGTAGACGTGTTTTGAAAAGTGGGTGTAGAATCAATTTTGAAAAGTGTAACCAAATGCCACACTCAAAGCGAGGGGGTAGAAACGAGATTTGAAAACCCCACCAAACAAAACCTTTATTTATTTGTTAATTATTATTATTTTTCATAATATCTATCTCAATATCTAAATCCAAATCTATATCTATATCTACCTGCATATATATAATAACAAATACAATTTTAGCAACACTATAATATTTTATGACATAAATAATAAAATGGTATAATTATTTCCTGACTACAAAATATATTTTGTTTGATGGTACACATTATAAATATTCATAACTGTCTCATAGTAGTAAAATAATAATAATAATAATAATAATAATAACACAATAAATCTAGGGAGACTTCTAATTGTATTCGAAAATTTATCATAATCCACTTGGCAGCAACCTTGGGGGCTATTTTATTTAAAAAGGCTCCACAAGGCTTTGGTCTTGCGTTTGCTTTCAAAATTATTTTTTTGGGGTGTGCAACAAATTGACGTTAGTGTAGTTTTGCATGTTGCGTCTATCCATACAAAATTTTAACAGTGAATGATAGCCAGATCATATTACAACAAAATTAAAAATATAATGTTTAAATTGAAATTACAATAACTAAACTGACATTTCATTTAAACGTTAGGGACTAATGGTTGCTCCTTAACCTCAAAACCCTTCATTTTAAATTCTAGGAATAATTACAAAAAAAAAAAAACTCTAATGTTTGACCCTTGCAACAGTATAAACTCTGAGTTTTTAATTTTATCAATTTAAATCTTAATCTTTTAATTTGTTTTCAATCTAAATCATTTGTCTACTTTTGTTAACTAAAATTGACCCCCCCAAAAAATATAGTATTTGAGTTATTAAACGCAATATAGGTATACATAAAATGTCCAAAATATCCATTTTCATTGAATTTAATAACTAACATACCCATTTTTCTATTGATTTTACTTAACAAAAATAAGCAAATGATTCAGATTGAAAACAAATCGAAAATTTAGGTTTTAAATTGATGAAATTAATAATAAAAAAATTTTTGTGTGTGTAATTTCCCCCAAATTCTTCAATCCAAAATACAATCTTAGCATTTTTAAATAAGAGGAGTTACGTGTAAGTCTTAATATGTAGACTTCTTGTTTAATATGTCCTGTGAGAATTAATGCGTTTTTCATCAATCACTATTAAAAAAATGTCACTAATTGTTAATTTTCAGCGACAGTTTGAAAATTTTGTCATAAAAAATGTCAAAATTATAAGTTATGACGACTGTTTAAAAAAATCATCACAAAAAGTCGCTAATTTTCAACTTTCAGCGACAGCTTGAAAAATTCATCACAGAAAAATATCACTAATTGTAAGTTTTAGCAACAATTTATAAAAATAGTAACAAAAAAAAAAGGTCAGTAATAGTTAATTTTTTGTGACATATGCAAAAAATCGTTACAAAAAATTATTTTTAGCGACGATTTTAACAGGACTTGATGGGAATTAAATCCAACTATTATGACCTATTGATAGTTTATCCTTCAAATAATTTGGTCAAAGTTCGCAAAATTACAGTCCAATTCATATTAGTTCAACCAAATTTTTAGTCAAAAGAAATAGGGCAAATTATACCTGTAGTCTCTATACTTGCCTCTCATGTCAATTTGGTTTCTATAATATTAATTTTGCCCTTTAATTTTTCAAATTGCGTCAATCTAGTCCAAGTGATAATAGCCGTTAAAAATTTGAATAAAAATCAAAGGCAAAATGATCTATTAAAAAGAGGAATGAATCATTTCAAATTGAATGTGAATCCTTCAATAACTTCGAAAGCAATCAAAAAAACCATTTTGTTCCTTAATTTTAGTCCAATTTCTAATGAAATATTATCAATTAGACTAAATTGATACGATGTGCAAAATTGAAAGGTAAAATTGATGCAATTAAAATTACAAGAACCAATTGATATAACACAAACTACAAGAATTACATGTAATTTGTATAAAGAAATACAACACATAAAAATGGAAATTTGTTCCTAAATACTAATTAATTTCAAGTGTAGTTTGACGTTCTTATTTTTGCACCCAACAACGTATTCAATCCAAATATATGTTGTTTTCTCATTATAGCCCAAAAGGTCGAATAAAAATAGCAAAATAACAAATAAAATTTATAGACGCCCCACAGCAATGAAGCTTAAATAAATAAATAAATAAATGAGCTTAAGTCAAAGAAGCATACCTTATTGAAGAGAGGTTGAATAGTTTCGTAATTGCTATCTGAAGTATTGCAAAAACTATTGAGCTTTGGCATCAGCCTGAGTGTCAGCATGTTCAATTGCAACAGCTCAATTCCATTCATAGCCTTGCAGATAGCAGTAAAACTTGGCAAGACTCCAAGACACAATTCCATTAGTTTAGGAAGCACAATTTTATCTGTTGTTTCTGTTGTTGTTGATGCTATCTCATTTTGATCACCTTCTTCTTCACTTGAAATAAGTACTTCCATCTTACGACAATCAGATACATTAAGTATCTGTAGTTGCATCAGATCTCTGGCTATGGATAATGAGAACATGCTTTTCAGTTTATCACATCTCTTCAGTTCTAGAGAAGTGAGGTTGCGGAGCCATACAAGTTGAGTAGGACCCTTCCACAAATGTGTCACTGCTGGCAAGTCCCGTAGTTCTAGCCTTTTCAATGCACTGAAGGCCACCTGTAACGCCCCATTTTTCATTAAAGCCGATGAAACAAATCAAACTCGTATTCGTTATCTATTTTCAAATCAAATTAAATTAACATGCAGAAGTCAATAATCTTATCAAGATTCAACAATAATCATAAACAAAATAATTCTCTTTTCCTGTTATACTTCATTCCAGTATAGTTTGAGATTTACAAAAGAAATTACGTACGATTACACATACACAATTTCCAAAGCACGGATCTATAACATGTGATACAATACTACATAAATATTCAAAATTTAAATGCCCTAATAGATTACAAGTTACAAAGGTTAGAACCCTATTACAAAAAGAATGGGTCTCTACCCAAACAAATAAACCAATGCTTAGTGCTCCAAAAATCACATCCTGAGCCTTCAACGAGATGGAGGCAAATCACCAACACCTAAAAATGATTTTCCACGAAGGGATGAACACTAATGCCCAGTAGATATAATATTAACAATGTATATGACATTAATATGATTATGATCATGAATGCAATGATGTGCTACGCTAAAAATATAAGGGTTTTTTTTTTTTTTTTTCCCCAATAGGATGCTCAATGCACAAATTTCAAAACAATATTCATTTCAACATTTTCACTTCAAAACATCGGGCAATAAATAGGACATTGGAATTCCTTGGTACGTGTCTGCAAGTAGGCTCTCAAGCACTACCAAATACCACTTTAATGGCTACTGACCGGGAAGGAAATTAATACCTACACTGCTCGTGTTTTCGGACTTTCACCATGACTCTCAAACCAACTTAGTTCTCAAATTCCTAATTTCATCCCCTATCTAGATTTACCACGTTATCAACATTTCCAACATTTTCAAAATAATAGAACAATCTCAATGTAGGGCCACGGGAGTGCGATGGATACATGAAACAATAATTTGTAACAAAATATTCCAATAAGAAAATATATTTACAGCATAACTCAACATTCTTAGTAATTCCAAAATATTATGAGATTCCAATAAACTCATCAGTTCTCAACATATATCCCATATTTCATAATTTCTATTATTTCCAATAAATTCAAGATAACTAATATCTCCAAGAAAATTCCCAATCTCCATAATAAATCACCAATTTTCACATTATTCCAACAATTTAATCCTATTCAAAATCACATTTTTCATTTCTCAAATTTTCTAGGGTTTGAATAAAATTTAGAGTTTTCTCAATTTAAATATAACCAAGGTTTTAAATAACGGTGGCAGTTACTGAAATGGTAGCAGTAATGCAGACTTGGTTGCGGGGTGTAACTACCGTAGCATAACAGTGGCGGCAACCGGAACCGTGAATTTTTTAATTCTTCACACAACTTAAAAAAGAATACCGATACGCATGTTTTTATTTCAGAATCACATTTAGTGAGGCTCAAAATGATTTTTAGTATTTTTGTTTAGTTTGAAAACATGATCCAATATATAAACTAATGTTTATATTAGTTTTAAGTTGCTATGAAAATTTTTCCTATTGTTGAATTTATTTAATTTTCTTTACTTTACTAATTATGATTATGGATAACTTTTCCTATTTGTTAAAAAATATATATTAAAAACAATAGTCTCATAAATAGAAGTTCAAAATACAAAATTTCAAACATAATAATGTAAAAGTAAATAACACGAAATCTAAATTTTGTTCAATAAATTTAACATAGGAGAAATAGATTAAGTTCATATCCAAATATAATTAAGTAAAAAAGTAATGAAATCTCGTAGAACTTGAAGATTGAACATTCAAAACATATATAGATAAGATTTTTACTTAAGTTCTATGTAACTGAAAAATAAAAAGAGAAAATAGCAATATATACAAAATTTATATAAAAAAAAATATATAGATGTGTAATGGTCATAATGGCTATAACAGTGCTATAGCGGCAATGTGATGGCTGCTACAGCCTTTACGTAATGGTGGCGGCCGTTGCGGTCATGAGTTTCTGTCACACTGCTATAACGGCCGTAAAGGGTAGTGATAATCAGCACAATCGTTACATAACGACGTTAGTAATGGTTGTGGCTGCTTTTTAAAACCTTGAATATGACACTATGAAATTTATATACCATAAATCATTTTAGGAAGAGAGTTTTGAACATTTGATAAAATAAGAGCAAATCCTAATTTTTATAATATATATATATATATATAAAATAAAAAAAAACCTCAATTTCTTCAAAATCATAACTAACAAAAAAATACCACACAATCAAGGTAAAACAAATATACAAAGATAATATCATCCCTACCTCAAACTAATAGAGGAGAAGAAAAGTCTCAAAATCGAATGCATTGAAAACGCAATCGGCCCCGGTCAAATGAAACCCTCTCTATATTTCGTATCAAAGTAGCAAGGTGATATTCTAACTTTAGATATGGTAGATCGAAAGTTTTGCCTTTTTTTATTTAAAAAAAGGAGAGACAAAAGAGAGGAAGAGAAAGATAGGCGGAAGGAGAAGAAAAAAAATGGAAGGAAAGAAAGAAAGAAATGATTGGATTTGTGAACTTCACATTATTTGGTAAAAAAATGCCCCTCATCAATCTACAAAACAAGAGTTTCTTTCTTCCGCACCATTCAGCTTGTTTGGTTCCATTGAAATTCATTTTTCAAAAAATTGAAATTTTTTGTTTTTTAATTTTTTTTTGTTTTCACTGAATTTTTTTAATATTTTAAGTAATTTTTTAATTTTTAGATACATCTAACATAAATACACTTAAAAAATAAAATATTTGTGAAAAATATCTTCAAAAAATTCATTAAATACCAAAAATATTTTTTTTAAAAATACAAAAATTCAGTACATTTTTGTATTCTTGTGTATTTATTGATTTTTAAAAATATTTTATTTTTTAGATACATCTAAGTAAGATACATATAAAAAAGTAAAAAAAATAAAATTTTAAAAAATTCATTAAAAACAAAAAAAAAATACGGAAAAAAAAAATCATTTTTCAAAAAATTGAATTTAGAAAATTGAAATCAAACACTGTGATTAGCTTTGTCTAGTTTGTTATAGGGAGGATAAGCAAGTTTGTTTGCTTGATCTCTCTAGTAGTTAATTGTCAGCTTTTATTTTGTTTTGTTTTGTTTTTTTTTTAACTAAGCTTTTGTTTTCTTGGCTTTGGCCCTATCTCACCCGAAAAAAAAAAAGAAAAAAAAAAGAAGGGTTAATTACACTGACACCCTCTAATATTCCTGTTTAATACAAATTCATCTCTCACATTTGATGTGATGACCAGGTACGTAACCCGTCTTACTTTTCTTTTGTGCGCGTTGGGTTCAACACTTTTGAAATCTATTTCTCAAAATTTTCATCTCTATTAATTTCAATTCTGAGTTCCACTTGTTTCGGGAGGCTTAAAGTTGAATCCGGGGGTTTTACACTTGAGCTGGAAAATTTTATAGGCTGAAGGCTGAGCCATACGTGCTGGGGGCCTTGGGTCGCATGTGCGGGATGGGGCAGCACTTGTGGGAGATGAGGCCACACGTGCGGAAAACAGGGGAAGTTCTGGGTTGGTCACTGCAATATATGCAGGTGCGGGAATGGAAGTGCGGAGGAAGGGGCTGCACGTGCGGGGATGAAGGCCGCACGTGCGGGAGTGAGTGCCGCACGTGTGGGAGACGCTGAGCCCGAAAATTTTCTTTTTCTTCCTTCCTTGGGCTGAGTGCATATCATTTTATACACCTCTCTCTCTCTCTCTCTCTCTCTCTCTCTAAAAACCCTTTTCTCCTCATTCTCTCTATATTTCCTACATCAACACTCACTAAATTTTTGATTTCTCCAAATCTATAAACATTTTGACCCTTGTCTCTTGATCAAAGTTGGAAAACTCTTCGAGAGCTTTGTTGTGTGCGGTGGAGATTGGAGTTCAACGCCGCCAAATTTAGGGCTTTCATCTATTTTCTTTCAACAAGATTGAGGTAGGGCCTTCTTTGAGTTATATATGCGTTTTTGCAAGGTTGATGTTGATTTTGGAGTTTTCTTGATGAAGGTTTTGATTTTTGGCTCAAGAATGATAGGATTTTCAAAAGTGGGTTTAAATCTCAAATTTTTCTAAGTTAATCCTTGAGGGTTTCACCTTCATTGTGTGAGAAAGGATGTTCTGTGTGAGTGTCTTTTTAAAAAGGGTGAAGAGATACCTATTTTTAGCCAAAAGACCAAAAATTTATGGATTTTTGAAATGGGTTGAGGATCTATGAAATTAGTCAATTTGTTGATATGTCATAATGGAAGAATGAAATAGAAAATATCTTTTGCCATTTGTGGAAATGATGTCATGGAATGAGTGAAATGTAGAGATGGAAACTTATAGTTGAAATTGTAGACAAAGTTATGAAGTAACAAATTGATGGTTTAACATGAAATGTGAAAAGTGTTTATTTGTTGATGACTTTAAATGAAAATGTGGTTATCATGCTAGATAGTGTTGAAAGCGGAGTGGAAAGTTTGATTATGATGAACTATCGTTGAGATATTTGAAGATGGAGGAATGTTATGTAGTAATGATAATTATTGCATTGCATATTCATTTAATTGATTATTACACATTTTAAAATTGAGCTTGGGAAACTTTTGCTTTGAGAAAGGTAAGTTTGTGAATGAATTTATTGAAAGGTTTTGGGGTAAATACGTTGGTAAGTCCGGATAAGAGGTGTAGATGAAATTGATTAAGTTGGCCTGAGTGTCCAGGGTGAAAGACTGAAAACACGCACGGAGGAGGTACCACTTCCCTTCCAATTAACAACTGATAAAGTGAGGTTTTGATAGTGCTAGTTATGCCTACTTGCAGACACCAATCTATGGATTACCTGAGTCGTATTTACCACCACTTGAAATAAAATTGTAAATTTTAAACTGTTGAGATTGCAAGTTATCATTGAACATGATGTTTTTTTTTAAGGATGAGCAAAAGTGATTTTCTTTTAAAAGGCATAGCGTGGCATGTGCATTTCAGATCAGAAGTCTTGCAT